GACACATACAGTTTACAAGCAGATGAAGGCAACCATTCATTCATAAAAAGAAACATCCAAACTTTTGCTTGCCTAGTTTAAAAGGAGCTCAGTCAGCAAGAGTTTCCTAAAAAAAACAACAACTGTCAATTGAGCAAAATAGTTAAGGTCCTAAATCATTTCCTAGAACAGAGGGTGAATTACATTAAAAGTCCTTCCATTCCCACATGTACTACTTTATTGCCAGTTCTCTGGAAATGCTTATGAACTGCTTCTTACCCACTTTACAGAAATTGTAACTACATTTGTATGCTTTCATGTGGAAATCAGATGTTACTTTAAAAATATTTCAAGGCTGGAGATTCTATTAGAAAGAGTTGTCTAGTGACAACTCAGCAAAGATAAACAAGCAGGAATCAGAGAATATTAAGTTTACTGAGCCCTAGTAAAATATAAAAGTATGAACTTTATTTTATTCAAGGCAGTAAACTGAAGGTTTCAGGTTTTGGGTAGCTTATGTATGAAAACTCTGGGAATGCAAAAAACTAATTTTCACAAATCCTTGGAAGACAGTAGACTTTTATGTAATAAAAAACAATACATTTAAGAAGTGCTCCTGTACTTTCAGAAATATTTTTTCCTTTCCCTGATTTTCTTTCTGAAAATATTTCTTCACTTTTTTCATGCCACTTTCCCTCCCCCTATTACTCTTCTAGCTTTGCCTCTCATACTTAGCTCAAACTTCAGAGACTTCACCCACTGATTATTGGTCCATCTAGCTCAGTATCTATACCACCCCCTGCCCCAAACCAGATGCTCTTCAGATGCATGGGGCCTGCAACATTCAGGAATGAGTCTCCAACCTTTCTTATAAAAGTCTTTCCTTACTCCTTCCTAGAGATGCTGAGGAATGAACTTGGGATGTGCTCTACCAAGATTAGACAACTGGGAAAATGTTGTCTTTCTATAATGCCTATCAGCTGCAGTCACAGTGCAACTGGTATCCTATAGGATGTAGCAGGGATGAATGAACATGTCTATTAAATGCTCTCATGTACTGAATACATGCCCTTGTGTATTGAACCTCCTCCTGGATTTCAGAATGCATAGTCTAGAATAAATTCAGGTGATTGCAATAAACCTCCCTCCCGAACTAGAGCCCACCCGCAACAGCAATTCTGGGAAATCAGCACAAGGCCTGAACAGGTAAATAATTATTATTGCAGATCTGGCGTTAGTTTAGTCCCAGCAAAGATCAGTTTCTCCAAAGTCTAGAACTCTAACCACCTATATAGGTAACACTCAGGATTTAAATCATGGATTACTTTCCCCCTACTTTACAGTGTAAGAGATGGGCCACAGCTCTTTTCTCTGGGCTTTGCTGTCTGTTGTCTATTTCTTGCAGTAGCTTCTGTTCCCTTCCTACTTTGCAGATGTCATTTCTGACCTGCATGGAGTTATATAGTTTCCAGCCATATCAATATAGTATCTAAGAATATTACACTGTCCAGTTATTCTGGTTTCTGCTCAACTCCAGCACTTTATGTTTATTTGAATCAGCTGATTGGGGTAGCCGTGGAATCAGCGCAAGTGTCACTATTTGGAAGCAACCACACTAAAGGTGAGTCTCAGCGCATTCATCAGTGCAATTGTCACTGTCAGTCTGGATTAAAGTTGCAATCTGGTCCTTATTTTCAGGAACAGTTGCTATTTAATAGTCAAATGTAGTATCCCTTTTCAAGAAGAAACTTCTTGTGAAGGAAAAAAAAACCAAATTTAAATGGAATGGATTAAGAGGGCAATATAATACAGTAAAGTATTGGGGTAAATGTCAGTGAGTATCATCAGTCATTTTCTTAGAAAAGTATTTTTTAATTTGAAGCCGCCGAGGGGGCAGCCCTCAGTCCAGGCTTCAAGACTACAGATGCTCCTCCCTGCAACACTGATCTAGACAAACTAAGGGGCTGCAACCCTCTGGCTCATTCCATCCATTTAGTGAGGGAGGCCAACGTCTGCCTCATAAAGTCTCTTCACAATGGGAAGTTGTTAGCAGGATCTTTTTAAAAATCTAATTCTGCCGAAACAGGAGGAGGGGAGAGGGAAATGTGCCAGATCTGCACTTTTAGCGAAAGGCCCAGTGAGTTCCCTGCAGAGCTGATCTGACATAGCAATTTCCTGTATGAAATGCCTTTAGATGACTTCTGGTAGAATTCTGCAAGGAATATACCCTACAAAGAAATCTGCAGGGCCAGAAACGAAAATATTCTCTTCAATGAAAGAAATCTCCTCTTCCACACCAGAATGAGAGATGCAATCTACATTCCACTGTGCAGTGAATTTTCCTCTTATATATACCCGGAGAGAAATTATTAATTGGGAAACTACAAGGCATCATCATCATCTTTTTTCAAAGCTTTCACAAAGGCTAATTGAAGCTGTCTGAACACATAAACATGTAACAGAAACAGCACTGACTATTAACACAGAAATAACATTCACATGGCTATATGCTCCTGGCTTTCTGCTCTTCTGGTGAAGAGTCATGCTACTTCACCAAGGTCTTTTTTTCCCATACTCAATATTTCTTGAACTGCTATTACCACATCATCAACCTGATACCACAATTCTGAATGGGAAATCCACTGACATCTTAACTGAAACTTAAACTTTTTTGGAATTAAATCCAAAATGCTACACAGTATATATAAACATGTTGATACACAATCATTTTAGTAGGATTTCTGGCACAGGATTCTTGAAATAAGTTACACATTCCTTGGCAGCACAGTCCACAATCTCTGGCTGTCTCAAGATCCACACAGTTCCTAGGACTTCAAAGGCACATCAACAATTGAACCAAAGTAAACTTGTGGTTTTGATGTGCCCATTGCACATGCCAACACCAAAACGTTACTGGAAGGAAAAGGAAATATAATTTCCTACTCCTTATCTTTTTGCATCCCATCTGAGGTCGGCCCGTTACCCCTTCAAAGACAGTAACTAGACAGAAGTAGGTGCTGAAGAGCCAAAAGAGCTAGATTCAGAATCAGATTCTTTCCCCTAAATCAATGTTGTCCAAACTTGGCCACTTTACGATGAGTGGGCTTCAACTCCCAGAATTCCCCAGCCAACCATGCTGGCTGGGGAAT